GCTGTCATCGCAAAGACCAGAGCAGCCATGGCTCAACTCTACCCATTACTGGGTAGACACAGCCGGATGCCGCTAGCGACCAAGCTACGGCTGATCAAGGCCATCGCCATACCTCAGCTCGCTTACGCCTCCGCGGTCTGGGGGTACGCTGCCCCCAGCTACCGCAAGCGACTTGCTGCTCTAGAGATGAAGCTACTCCGGATCGCCACCTGTGCACCATCCTACGTAAGAATCTCAACCTTGCGTAGAGACCTGCATTGGGACACCATTCACGAGTACATGAGGAAAAAAGCGGAGAAGACCTTCCAGAAAGCTCAGGACCACCCGAACGAGCAGCTACGATTCCTCATGGACTACGATCCGGACGAGAGGCCTCGCAACCGCAGAACCAGGTACCCTAGACCAAGGTCCCAGTTGGCACCCGCTAACTGGAACCTTGACTAGGAGACTAGGAGAACCCGCGGTTGCTCCCCCCCCCACGGCGTGGATGCAGAGGACCAGGAACCACCGGGACCAGGACCCACCGGGACCAGGACCCACCAGGACCAGGACCAACCAGGACCAGGACCCGCCACGACCAGGACCCACCAGGAACAGAACCCTTCAGGACCAGGACCAGGAACAATATATAGGTAAGAGGACTTGAAACTCTTGATTTTTCGAAAACAAGAGTTTCAAGGGAACCTAGCAGACCCTCTAACGATGATCGGTTAACGACATCGATAGAATGTGCGAGGTAAAGGGAACCAACCCGGCGTTCCCAGAGACTGAAACACATGAGGAGACGTTGTAGCAGACCGCAGGTCACGCACAACACATGGCCTACCGAGGCGCTGATGAGTCGGGCCACGCGGAGGTTCGGGTTTAGTGGGTATTAGGTGGTCTCCTCAAGACAACCTGGAGTCCCGCACACGCCGTAGCTCGGCCTATGGTATGTTGCGTAAACGCATTCCCCCCTCACCAAAAAAAAATGAAATCAACAAAGCTTCTGGACCGGACTTGATTCCTGCCATTGTACTGGAGAGGTAGGTGCAGCAGAGCTTGCTCCAATTCTTTCGCGTCTCTTCCAGATACCTTATGAATCTGGCACCTATCGATGCTGACCGCTGACCAGAGGAGGGCTGTCCGACTAATTGATGACCCTTCTCTAACAGACAGTCTCGGGACCCTTTCGCACAGGCGGGCCGTCGGCGATCTAGCTCTCTTGAACCGCTACACCAACGCGCTTTGCTCGTCAGAGCTCTCTTCCATGATGCCGCCACACGATGTGCCTGCCAGACAGACCCGCCTGACTTTGACCTCCCATCCTAACCGTGTCGTGTTCGTTTTCGCAATCAAAAACATTGTTTTGTATGGAATGGACTGGATATGTCTCGGAGTCCCTCAGAATGTTTTATTTATCTTTTTTTTGTTGCCAGCAATGAAGTTTTTTATGTTTGAATCTTTAATATTAATACACTAGTTAATTATACAGCCACGTACTTATTTTGTTCTCAGATAATAAAATATTGCTTTTCTGAGCATTTTAAATGTTTTTTTTCAAGCTGGCCTTGACCAGATAGAACGCAATAGATTTAAGGACCAAAAATAGGATAAATTCTAGAAGTTCCATTGATAAATAATAAACTCATGTTTGGAAAATGGCTACCACCCTAAGCTGTGGAAGCTGGCTCTAATTATAAATGTCCCTTAAATATCTAAACCTACTGAACTTAAACATCTTAGACCCATTAGGTTGTTGCCGGTGCTATCGAAAATTTTGGAAAAAATTATACAGCAACAAGTTGTCCATTACATAGAGGAACTTAGAATAATATCGTCATGTCAATCGGGCTTCAGGAAGCACCATAGTACCACCTCGGCACTGTTAGATCTTTGTGATAATGTTATTAGGGCAGTTGACAAAAAGTTAGTGGTATCAATTGACTATTCCAAAGCATTCGATCGAATAAATCATAAACTTTTGTATGCCAAGCTGAGGTATATAGGCTTCGATGATGCTGCTGTCAGTTTTTAGCGTAGCTATTTGTCCGGTCGCACGCAATGTGTCGCAATCAATAACGATCAATCCAATATCACGACTATTCCGTCAGGAGTTCCGCAAGGCTCAATTTTGGGACCTGTGCTCTTTTTGATTTACACGTGTGACCTGCATAAAGCAGTTGACAATTCAGGGATACAAACATTTGCTGGCGATACTCAAATAATGTTCCATTTCGACGCCTCAGATACGCAAAATTCATCAGACATTTTACAGCTTGATTTAGATAAGGTACATCAGTTTTCTATGGAACATAATCTTGCTATTAATCCAGATAAGACACAAGTGTTATTGTTTTGTTCTGATCAGAAGAGGAACACTGTCGAAGATTCTTTCCTTCTGACTATTGATGGCATATCATTACAGCATACTCAAACAGCTAAGGTACTAGGAGTGGAAATGGACACAAAATTAAGATTCCGCAGACAAATAGCTAATTTGATGAAAAAACTTACCTGTGTTCTAGGGCTCTTTATTCCAATCGCTATCTTTGGTGATGTCAATGCTCAGTTACTGTGATGTCGTTTATTATCCATGTTATGTTCTATAAGCTAATTTGCTGGATGGTACAATTTTTAAGTAGTTGTACCTCATGACGGGATGAAGCAGACATCCAACGATGTCACCTCAGTCTTGCAAGTCTAGTGGCAATTTCCTTTTCAGTCTCCTGGTCTCAGTGGGATCTAATAGCAATGGCAGCAGTGGGTTTGGATGGTCGCTAAGCCTATCATGGTGTTTGCAACTTCTTTCCATGATGACTTCCCTGATGAATGGGATTTTCAGATCCCTATGGAGCGGTTCATTTGAGACATACCAAGGTGCATCTGCAATGCTTCTAAGGATTTTTGATTGAGCTCGTCGAATGATTGAAAGGTTTGACTTGCTAGCGCAGCCCCAGAGTTCGATCCCGTAAGTCCAAATGGGCTTGATGATGGCTTTGTATATCAGTAACTTGTTTTCTATGCTTAGTTTTGATTTGCGTCCTATCAGCCAATTTAACTCTTTACTTTTCAAGTCCATCTGTTTTCTTTTCTTGGATAAATGTTGCTTCCAGTTTAATTTATCGTCCATGTGCAATCCCAGGTATTTAACACTTGCATGTTGAGGTATGGTGACTTGATTCAAGGAAACAGCTGGGCATTGTCCTTTGCGGAGAGTGAAGGTGATGTGCGTGGATTTGGTTTCGTTGACTTTGATCTTCCATTTGTTCAGCCAACTTCCTATATCGTCTAGGTGCCTCTGTAGTTTACTTGAAGCGTGGTCGGGGTCTTCATCAGTTGCAAGAATCGCCGTATCGTCTGCAAATGTGCCAACTGTTGTTTCAGTTATTGTGGGTATATCCGCTGTATATACGACATATAGTAAGTGACCCAACATGCTGCCCTGTGGGACTCCTGATTTCATAGGGTAGTAGCTTGAAGTCTCACTGTTTACTTTAACTTTGTAGCAGCGGTCACTTAAGTAGGATTGTAGCAACTTGAGGTACTTGGCTGGCAATACTTATTTTATGCAACAAGCCTGGATGCCACACTTTATCAAACGCCTGCTTCACATCTAGGAAGGCTGCCGTACAGTATTCTTTTCTTTCGAAGGATTTGGCGATTATATCCGAAAGGCGGTGACACTGCTGTACAGTTGAGTGAGCCGGCCTAAAGCCAAACTGATGATTAGGGATCCAAGCTAGCCGATCCAGTTGGCCATTTATTCTATTCAGGATAAGTCTTTCCAAAAGCTTAGAAATTACTGGCAACAGGCTGATCGGGCGATAAGAACTAATATCCATTAGATTTTTTCCTGGTTTCGGTGCCATAATTATTAGCGCACTCTTGAAGGACATGGGCCAGTAGTCTAGCCTTATAATCGCATTAAATATATAAAGCAATTTCATCAAGCCTTTCTTGAGAAGTTCTTGTAACATTTTGCCTGTGATCATGTCAGCTTCAGGGGCTTTTTTATATTTAGCCTGTTTATTTCATTTTGTAATCCCTTCGGAGAGAAAGGTGCTAACCGTTCTTGAGTTAAAAGATGGATGAGATTGGCTTCATCTACTTCCAGCACTGGATCGTCATTGTGTGGGATGAACACTTCGGCAAGGTGTTGTGCAAATGCGTCAGCTTTTTCTTTATCGCTTTTTGCCCATTGACCATTAGCTACTGTTTGGCTACGGATTGGGGGTGATGTAGAATGAGGTTTTCTCTTAGCTTTTATGGGCTTCCATATGGAGTTATCTTGTCTCGTGAGTTGAGATACGTAGCCCTCTACGGAGGCATTCCTCATTTCTTGAAGTTTAGACTTTAGCTTATTACAGCAGGTTTTGTATTTTGTTCGGCTGGCTGGCGTGCGGGTACGTTGCCAAATTGATCGTGCGAAGTTTGGTTAAACATAAATTCTTAGTTTTAGTTCATAAAATATTATTGTCATCAAAGCCTGAATATCTAAGAGTTAAGTTAAGATTTAATTACGAAGTGCATGACAGGGCTGTTAGGAATCGTTATAGTATCAGAACCACCCCACACACTTCTGCATTATTCCAACGAGGATTTACATATAATGCAGCACTATTTTATAATAAGTTGGACAACAGTATTAAATTGATGTCTTTGGAAAGCTTTCGTAAACATACTAAAAGCATGTTGCTCGCTATTGATTAAATAAGCATTTCTGCTACAGATAGATTGTGTCTAGTTGTATTTTATACTTAGGTATATATGTGTTCTTTTTTTCATTGTTCTTATATTTTTTTCCATGTTTTGAACATCAGATGTAACCGACATAAACAGTTAAGTGTAAAAGTAGCCTTGGCTAAACTTCGCTGTTTATGTCCCTCCGGGTTATCCAATAAAGACGTTATTATTATTATCGTTAATCAATTTTCGAATCTAATATCTATAACAATGACTGGAATAGTTCCAACACTGTTGTTAATCAGTGCGGCGTCAGCGTGGTCGTACTGAACCCAATGGGAGTATGTGTGGAGCCCACGCGACCATGGCAAGGTGACCACGCTGGTACTGCCGGTGTCGGGCGACCGCGAGCGCCAGCAGATCACTGAAGGTGAATTCATTCTGAATCCGACCGAACCGCGACTTCCATCGTCGTACCGCAGACCGCGAATCACAGGGACAGCTAGCCGGCGGTACCGCGTCGCACTTCGCGCCTACTTGTTTACGTTCCAGTGACACGTGCCGTTGACAAGTGCTTTTGTGACGTTTTGGTTGGTTGTGCTTAGCTACTTGAAGTTCTACACGGAGTTGGTCCATAGAAGAGTCTGTAGTACCGGTAGGTTGATAGTTTCTTAAAAAAAATACTATCTAGGAAAGTAAGGTTTCGGAAAAAAAGAGCTTTAAATTGAAATAATGTTCGAATATTTTTCAACTTCCAAAAAAATTAAGGCCAAAATAAAATTTCCCTACGAAGTTTGTAATGACATTTTTTTATATTCCAAAGCTTTCTAGCTCTAACTGCATAGAGCAATTTTATTTTGGGCTTAAGTTTTTTGACTGGGTCGTCTAGACATTGAACTTTTTAAATAACTAGTTAAACTCCTTTAGTGTTGTAGAAGTCAGTTCTAGCTAAAAGTCGCAGTTAGCGAATACCTCTCTACTCGTTTGGATCAGTGGTAGAAGGCGATATACAGGGTGACAGGTAAATAGGTGTAAAACATTTTAGGAGGTGATAGTACAGCCCCTTTGCTATCGAAATTAGTATATAATACCATACCCTATATTCAAAGGTTGAAAAGTTATTGAAGATTTAAGATTTTTTCAAAAACAATCCATATTTCAGAGTAAAAAAAGTCGGGAGAGAAAAAAGCTGGCGATTAAACATTTGTTTTTTGTGGTTTTGGGTTATTATTTCAATAATTAACTATTATAAATTGAATAAGATTCGAAAACAATACCAAACAACGTATTTATTTTCATTCAAAAATGTTTAACTAAGAAAAACAAATAACGTTTTACAGTAAGTAAGGTGTTTTACAAAAAAATCGATATACAAAAAAACGTACAAACAATTTAAATAATATCCTTGTTTCATAAGGAATCTAAATTGGTATGATAAGTGCACAAAAACTGTGTGAAACTAAACATAATGGGAGTAAATTTATCAATGACTTGTCTCCTATTTCCACAACTCTCTGATTGATAAGAAAGTGTTTTTGTGAAAATAATGTAACTGTAAGCTATGGGATAGTTATTATTTCAAACTACGGTTAAGTTACACGATTAGATTATTTACACAGTTGTAATTGTACTACAGAATAATAAAAACTGACTAAAAGTTACTACAATTGGCAAGTAAAATACAATAATGAAATGAAAGTCAAATTCATTGCAATTGTTGTTCGAACTGCCGCCCGCCGTTTCTTATGCAAGCCCGTAGTCTTTTTCTCATGTTGGTACGCGTGATGCGGCCAGTTAGTTGTCCTCTGATAGTGTCAGCAGCAGCAATAATTCTTTCTTTCAACTGTGCAAGAGTGTCTATGGGCTCAGCGTACACCAGCGATTTCATGTGCCCCCATAAATAATAGTCACACGGTGTTAAATCTGGGCTCCTCGCTGGCCACGGTGTCAGTCCACCTCGGCCAAACCAGCGACAAGGACATTTCTCGTCCAGCCACTGTCTAACACCCAGACGGAAATGCGCGGGACAGCCATCGTGTTGGTAGATCATCTGCATCCTGATATTCAGAGGCAGGTCTTCGAGATACTCCCAGAGTTCGGATCTCAAAAAGTTTTCATAGGATTCGCCAGTCAGGTTGTCAGGCAAAAAAACTGGTCCAATTAGATACGTATGAATGATTCCCATCCACACGTTTGCCGAAAATCTTCTTTGATGGGCTCTTGGCTTTGCCATGTGGGGATTTGCCTCTCGTGGGGCCCAATAATGTAACTTGTGATAATTTGTTGTCCCCTCTCTGTCAAACTTAGACTCGTCGGTCCACAATATTTTAGTTAAATAGTAGTTTTCTTCTTGATCCCGATGAAGCATGTATCGACAAAAATCAATTCTTCTTGCGGGATCTCCTTCTTCTAATACTTGAACCGGTGTGTAATGGAAAGGGTAAAGTCGAATGCAAAACGAACCAAACTTTCTACTGAGTTAAACCAAGCTGCTTTTGCTATAACTCGTGTAAACGTCGGGTCTCTGCCGTAGCATTCCAGTATTGCCTCTTGATCTTCGTCGTCAAACAACCGAGGTCTACCAGCGTCATGACGCCTCTCATGAACCTGTCCACTTTCCTTGACGCGTTGGTACACAGAAGCAAATACTCGATGACTCGGTATTCGCCGATTCGGAAAACGGTTTTCGTATTCTCGCCTGGCTTCAACGGAATTTCCATCACTTAAACCATAACAAAACAGAATATCAGCGTATTCTTCGTTACGGTAACTCGCCATTATTAAAACTGATCAAAAAAGTAAAAGTACGTCCTACCGCGTTAAAGGTTGATATTCTACTAACTTAAGCGTTAGTTCCCTTTCATTGATTCCGTCAGCTGTGTCAATTCATAACACACGCAGAGCTTGCTTCCGAGGAGCGACGACAGATTCCGAATACTTAAACCCGAATAACGGCACAGGGCACAAAAAATAACAAAAAGGGTCGAACCATCAAAGGCTCGGTTTACCTGCTCAGTACAATGAAATGCGCTTAGCGGTCCTTTCTAGCAAAGTGATATTGTTTTGTTAAATGGTTTACTTACTGATATGTTATTATACCGTTTTAGAAACCTAATGAAACGAGGAAGTTTTTGCAGTTATTTGCACATTTTCTTTATTATGATTTTTTTGAAAAAAAAGACTTCTTAATGTGAAAGTTGAAAATAAAAAATTTCATTCAACATTGAAATGAAAATAAATACGTTTTCAGTAGTGTTTTGATATGTTTTTTAATTTATGAGAATTATTTATTTAAATAATAACCTGAAACCACCAAAAAAAGAATGTTTAATCACCAACTTTTTTTTATCTCAACTATTTTACTATGTAATCTGGGTTGTTTTTTAAAAAAATTAAATCTTCCATAACTTTTTAACCTTTGAATATAGGGTATGGTATTATATACTAATTTTTATAGCAAAGGAACTGTACTATCACCTCCTAAAATGTTTTACACCTATTTACCTGTCACCCTGTATAGAATAAGCTGTAATCTCAAACAAAAACATTTAAAAAAATAGGAACAACCCGACTGCAGTAACTGAAAAGAATAAAGATTTAAATGTGTTAAATCTAAAGACACCTCGTCCATCGATCAAGCTGTTTAAAGGGTAGCCCATGAAATAGGCATTTCAAGGTACATTTGATTATTAAAATCCGCCTTTTTGTCTTTCTAAAATTCTGGTATACCCACTGTCGCTCACACTCTCAAGATAAATCTCATATGCCAAAGTCCATCAAGCTGTGAAAGCTGTAGCCTCTGAAATACGAGTTTCAAGGTTACGACGAATCCTCGTGTCAAAATTATACATACACACGCGCGAAAAGCATAACCCTCCTTCTGATACACAGTCGTGTAATGAACATTGAAATAGCATAATCAGTTTCACGAATGGTACATACAAACAGCGTGATTCAACATACAGTGGTAATATTTCCAGTACAAGAAGGACGTCTATACGTAGCTGATAGTTCATCTACTTACTGTCCAAATATTTCATCTTACTGAGATTTCAATTTGAAAAATAGCGAAAAAATAATTTTCAATGCAGATAAAGAAAGCTACAAGTCGATTTAAAATTTTGTACAAGTATGAGTATAAGGTAAGGTGGGGTAAGTGAGTAGTAAAAATGTGAGAGTTCGCATGAATCATATGTTTCTAAAAACAGATTTACGTTTTAGGTTTACACAATCTGAGTAATCTGATTAACGTACTATTTTGCTATTTTGACGGCTGAGAAATCATAAAATTATATTTCCAGAATTTATTATAATTATTTTTTTAAAACAATGCCCATACTACACACTTACCCCTAATAATGGGGCAAGTTTGTATACAGTTGTGTGCAGCATATAGAGTAAATGTTTTTCCGTGTAAAACTGCCTACTTTTTTGTATACTTTGCTGCCATCAAACTCTTTTAGAAAAAAATATTCAAGGCTATGTGAACTTTTTATTAAACTATTCTTATAAAAATATATCATTTAGAAAACATTGTAATGTGCAAAAGAAACTCCAAAACGATAAAGGCCTCTTTTCGCAACAGTTGGAGTTGAAGTAACATCACGATGTCGTTTCTGGGACCGACTGCAATATCTTCAGGATCTGCCCAGATAAAACTTTTCGGAACAGAAGGATTCAAAGTAGGGACTCTTCTGGTAAATTTAACTTCTACGTCTTGACTTTCGTCAATCAATATATACTAAGTGACATATAAATCCGAACACCCAGTTTAAATGGTTTTATTTTAATAAAATTTTGTATAAGTAATTATTGAAGCATAATAAGTAAATGATAAAAATTACAAAATGATTGCACTGCTTTAAAGCCCTTTGACCTTAAATAATGTGTGGATGCACCCTGATATGCTACGCATTCTCCAACGCGCCTAGGCATGCTTCTGATCAGGTGGTCAATGTCCTCCTGTGGTATCTCATTCCAGGCAACCACCAACTCCTCTCGAAGTGCTTCTAGAGTCTGAGGAGGACGTTGCAAATTGAGCAATCTCCTACCCATCATATCCCACACGTGCTCAATTGGAGATAAGTCGGGAGATCTTGGTGGCCATGGTAACAATGTGACATCATTATGTTGAAAGAAGTCTATTGTGACTCTTGCAACATGTGGTCGGGCATTATCTTGTTGGAAAGTTGGATCTGCCAGGGTGAAAAGATAGGGTAAAAGATGGGGTTCTAGAACTTCGTGGATATAACGCGGCGCGTTCATGTTACCTCTGATGAAGATTAAAGGTGACCTGGAACCATAAGCTATAGCACCCCAAACCATAACTCCAACAGTGTGATGAACATGTCTTTCAACAAAAAACTGTGGATTCCTCCTTTCACCACGTCGCCTTCTAACCCTGGCACGACCATCGTGCATGCCTAAACAAAATCGAGACTCGTCACTAAAGACAATACTGTTCCATTCCTGATCCCAGAGTGACCGTTGTCTGCACCACTCAAGGCGATTACGTCGGTGTTTTCGAGTTAAAGGGAGGACCCAGTGTGGCCGGTATGAAAACAAGCCAAAACTTCTCATTCGTCGGTAAACACTTCGCATGCCAATAGGTATTCCGTGTTCTGCA